CCTGTGTCCTCCTCCCATGTACTGAGATTGGCCACCATATCCAGTGGTGGCCTGGACTTTTGCTGTTTATTTTTTTTATTTATTTATTTTTTTTTTTTGGTTTTTCGAGACAGGGTTTCTCTGTGTAGCTTTGTGCCTCTCCTGGAACTCACTTGGTAGCCCAGGCTGGCCTCGAACTCACAGAGATCCGCCTGGCTCTGCCTCCCGAGTGCTGGGATTAAAGGCGTGCGCCACCACCGCCCGGCTTATTTTTTAAGCATATAGATGTCAAAGGTTTTAAATATAAGAGTTACTGTACACATTTAACAGGATTTACTCTAAAGTCTCAAAAATCTGTGTCCTACTTGAACTTTTTAGGTCTGTTGATCACATTATTATCTGTAAGCCAGGCACAGTAGTGGTATCATTACATTATGGAGAAACGCAATTGTCTATAAAAGGCTTTGTAAAGAAATGAGTGATTCCAGATCTGGGCAGGGAAATATAAGTTGGTCCTTGAAGCCGCTGTTGTGCCTGAAGGTAAGGAAGTGGGCCAATTGAGGGGGAGCCAGCTTATGGGGCTTCACACTGGCCAAATTCAGGACAATTGGAGCATAATTCTAAAAATTTAATGATGGTAATAATTATAACACACTGAATAAATGAATTCATCAATCATGGTGACATTTCACATAAAAGAAGCAGGGAGCCCTTCAGAGACTGCCTTCCAAAACAGAACAGATAAACAATTAGAAAATGGCCATTTTACAGGCCCCAGTGTCCCAACACATTCAGGGAATATTCTCAGGTATATTAAAATTACTGGATGAAAAATCTGTTGGAGGGCAGATAAAGAGACAGGGAAGACTTTACAGCACAAATATGTGACAGTGACACTGTGATCAAATTTAGTACCGATAAAAATGGTAGAAACGGACCATCTGTGCCTCCTCACGAAATGTCATCGCAAGTGCATACATTATCAATACATTATTGTCGCCCAAGATGAGTCCAGAACTGGGAGAAAATTAAGTAAGACATTATTTGGGACAACTGAGTAAACTGAAGATGGACTGTATTTGAGAGAGAAGTATTGCATCAATATTAGATTTTTTTTTTTTTTAGGCCATGGATGTAGCTCACTGATAGGGGTCCACTCTTCAGTACCAAAAAAAGAGTATATATATTCTTGGTATGTTAGGTTTATAGAAGACAACAGAAATATTTAGGGATAAAAATGTTATGATTAAGCAAATTGCTGTCAAATGATTCAGGAGAAGAAAGAATGGGTGTGGGGGCCGGGGATGTACATCTGAGAGGTACAGCAACTTTTGCCTAGCATAAATAAAGCTCTCACTCAAGGTGAGAAGTATATGGTTGGGGTGTGTGTGTGGGTGTGTGTGTGTGTGTGTGTGTGTGTGTACAGAGTGCAAACTTGGCAAAATGCTGAATAACTGGCCAATAACTAACAACTCAGGGTGAAGCACATGAATGTGCTCTTTCAAATGTGTAGGTATGAAATTTCTCAAAATCAAAAGTGAAAAATAAAGCAATTTTATGTCATTTATAGGGGTTAGCTGTTATTGTGGTGATGTTGAGTCCTGTTTACATATTGTTTTCCAGACCATGGCATAAACCGTGTGCATAGTGTATTCCTGCCTGCCTATTATTTATAACTATAGACTCTATAAACCTTTGGATTTTTATTTTATTCTGTTTGATGATGGAGATCAAACCCAGGGCCTTGGGCATGTTAGGCAAGTATTCAACCCCTGAGCTATGCCCCCTACACTGAAAAATTTAATAGAGTACTTCTACTCAAGATTATAAGTAAACTTCCACACTGCCGTAACAGAGTGATGCTGTGGCGTCTCCCTGGCCTTTGTCCTTCCTGCCTTGCAACATGGGATGTGGGGGCCCAAATTACTCAGGGTCAGAGAGTTTGAGCTTGCTTTACCCAGCAGGGTTGCATAAGGGGATGATTTGACCACAGGCGTGGTTACCAGGGGTTTGGAAGGGTATACACTTGGCGGTGTGGTGTGCTTTGATTTGGCAAGGGGGAGGTCTTTTGCCCTGCCCCTTGGCATTGTTATAAAAAGCCCTTTTGAATAAATGGGCATTGGGTATTGACTCAGGTACTCCTGAAGCTATCCTGTGGTTGACTGCAAGCAGGGCAGCACAGAGGAGAGACCCCCAGCAAAGCAGATAATGGAGCTGGGGCACAGCAGCCTTGACTGGTGTGGCTGGGTTTCTTCATGGATGGGCTTCCTCCTGGACCTGGAAGGGCTGCTTGAGAACCATAGCTCATAATGGCAGTGGCAGTCAGCCGTGCAGCCTGAGGTGTGAGAGAGCCTTTGGGTCTCAGGAGCGGGACCTAAACAGCTGTGAAAACCAGGAGCCAAAAGCCATGCAGTTTGTTTGCTGGCAGTTCAGGCTGGTTGTACAAAGAGGTCCTCCCCAGCCAGCTAACAGCTGTTGCCCTGGAGCAGTTTTCACCTAGGGGAAAGCTAACTGAAAGTGCCTCTGTGGCTGAGAGTGAGGTTTCAGAGACACTTGTTTGAACTGAATTGAGTTGTTGCATTCAGGGGAGCTGCAACAAATTTAGGTAATGGGACTCCTCATATTTGTAACTGTTTGCCTAAGAGTCATTATGACTTGGATTGTTATATAAAGACTTCAGGGTGGCTGACGAACCAGGCCCTGATCTTGGGCTGTCAGTTGAACTTTGGAACTGGTATTAGAACTGACTTTTTGAACTTTTGCAAACCTCAGAAGTGAGACAATTTTTATTTCACCTAAATACTCTTATCAACTGTGAGGACTTGTTTTATGTATGTATATATGCTTTGTTAACTGTGGTGATTCACAGACTGCTTTGTGTAAAAAATGGAACTGTTTGGGGTAAAAATGGAGAAGTTTGGTTTTTTTCTACCCAAGCTCAAGATAAAGTTTAAAAAATTATAAAGAAAAGGGGGAGTTAATATTCCTCAGTCTCTTTAATTTTGAAAATTTTCTTGCCCCTTAAGTGGATTAATGTTAACTTATGTTAATGTACCCTATGTTTTGTATAGTTCTATTAAGAAATTGCTTTTGGATGTTTGCAAAGTGTAATAGTCCTATTAAGAGTTTGCTTTTGGGGCTGGAGAGATGGCTCAGTGGTTAAGAGGTTCTTCCAGAGGTCCTTTGTTCAATTCCCAGCAACTACATGGTGGCTCACAGCCATCTGTAATAGATCTGGGGCCCTCTTCTGGACTGCAGGGATACATGCAGACATCACACTGTATATATAATAAATAAATAAATCTTTTAAAAAAAGTTTGCTTTTGGATGTAAGTTTGTAAGGATTGTAATTGTGTATAATAATAGTCCTGCTAGAATCATGTTAACCTGTTGATATTAATGAACCATGGTTTGATGAAGCTGAGGGAGTCTTTAGGTTTGATGCGGTTGTATCAGTTTATTGATATATTTGATGCAGTTGCATCAAGAGTTTATTGACTTAAAAAAAAGGGCTTGGCACAGCTAAGGCTATCACAGACATCTTAGACCCATTCAAAAAGGCCATTCCATCTTTATCATCCTCTACTCCTTTACTGGGAGATGTGGCAGTCAAAGGGAGCGGGAGTATTGCTGTGGTAATTCCAACTATTTGCAAGCTTTTAGTGGGAACTTGATTCAGAGCTGAATAGAGTTAAGCTCTGTACCATCACTTTATATTAAGAAGGGGAAATTTGTGGGAGCCCAAATTACTCAGGGTCAGAGAATCTGAGCTTGCTTTACCAAGCAGGGCTGCATAAGGGGATGATTTGACCACGGGCATGGTTACCAGGTGTTTGGAAGGGTATACACTTGGTGATGTGGTGTGCTTTGATTTAGCAAGGGGGAGGTCTTTTGCCCTGCCCTTTGTTATTGTTATAAAAAGCCCTTTTGAATAAATGGGCATTGGGTATTGACTCAGGTACTCCCGAAGCTATCCTATGTTTCTGTCTTTCTTCTCTTCACCCTCTTTCTATCCAATATTCTTATCCCTCTCTCCTCCTCATAGGAACCCTGGAAAGGGTGGGAGCTGGCCTCCCATAATGGAAGGGACATACGACCTGCTCGCAGGCTGGATGAGACTCCAGTGACAAAATGGGAGCCCCTGTAAACACTGGACATAAACAATGGGTGAGACAAGCTGCTCCTCTTGTGTGCATTGAAACTCTCTACAATCCTCTCCTTAGAAATCCCTCCCTGATGACTCTGAAAGTAAAACAGGCTTCACCTGCCCTTCCTGGTCAGTCCCACTCTCCCAGCTGGACTGAGATGAGAAACCCGAGGGCTTCATGACAGGAAACACTAGTCCACAGCATCCTGGTGAGAAAGGGAAACTGAGGCAGAGCACAGTTGGTCTCCATAGCCAACAGTAAGACAGTTATAAAATATGACTAAACTGTGGATGAACAAAGTTCTGAGAACTTGTTATGTGAAGAATAACGAATTTCACAGTATTGTATGTGTCTGATATCATAAGTAACCTGTTTTATCTTCAACTTTTTTGAGATCAGGTACAGACAGACAAACCCAGACTGGCCTGAAACTCTGTATGTAGCCTAGGGTGCCTTGAACTCACAGCAATTCTCCTGCCTCAGCCTCTTGAGTGCTGGGATTACAAGATGAAGCCGAGCCATTATGTCTGGAGTGTCGACTTCATTAGGTTCTCTCCTGCCTGCCTGCTGTGAGCTGCCACCATTCCTTGGCCACACATCTCTCGGCATGACTTTCAGAACACAACTTTTAGGGGTGGCAAATGGAAGCTGTAGTTTCTTCCATCCTATGGCACAATGAGATAGCTTATCTTTGTAGCAAACTATACATGCTCTTTTCCTTTACCTGTTGGGCTGCGCACACATATACAATGTCTATATTCACCCCAATTACTTCTGAGAGCCTTCCTTTTCCTCCGGACCCCTTCTTTCCAGCCGACCCCCAGTGACAATGGTACCCCCTCCCACAGTGACTTAACAGTCAACAGTCCCCAGGAAGAGGTGGTCATGTGCTTTATTAATAATCAAAAGAGAACAGAAATATTACTTAAGCAAGGCTCTGGTGTTGTTTTCCAATGTTGACACCCTATTTTCTGGTTTCATCCTCATAAGCTAATGTAGATATTTTTCTTTTTGGAAAAGTAAGCAGTCTTCAAACAGAGTAAATGATGGCCCTTGCTGCATGCTCACATCACAGAGAGTGGGAGACAAGGAGCTGGCTACATCTCTTGAATCAAGAACACTATTCTGCTTAGAGAAAACTCAATGACTCAAGACGAGAAAAAGAGAAATGGCCAAGGGGCCAAGCTGCTGTCTTTCCGTCAGAGGGCTTCCCAAACCCACTTCTTTGTCTAATGTGTTATGATATGCCCACCTAGCTGCAAGGAAAGTTCAGACTAGAGGGTTTTCCATCTTCACTGAACACAGTGCCAGCCTCAGCAACATAAAAACACAGTAAGAGGCTCAGCCTTTGAGAACACTGGCTGCTCCAGAGGACCCAGGTTCAATTCCAGCCTCACGGAGGTTCACAACTAACTGTAATTCTAGTTCTAGGAAATCTGACACCCTCATCTGAGGGCACTGTATTGCACATGGTACACAGACAAGATGTACATGCAGGCAGAAACTAACACATAAAATAAAAACGAATCTTTAAAAAAATTGTAAGAAAAAGGAAAATCGTTACCAACCAAACCATGGGCCATATTCTTTCCTTGATCTTTTTTGAGGATCATTCCTGACACCTAATGATTATTTTCCAGTTATAGTATCAAGCTGGCGGGATTTGGAGAGCTGGCTCAGTGGTTAAGAGCACGTACTGCTCCTGCAAAGGACACAAGTTTGGTTTCCAGCAGCCAACATCAGTTGGCTCAAAACACTCGGAACTCTAGCTCCAGGGAAGCTGACACGTTCTTCTGGCCTCCATAGGCACCTGAATTCGCATTCACATACCCACACATACATATACACACAGACATGTAATTAAGAATAAAATTTTGGGCTGGAGAGCTGGCTCAGAGCTGGCCGCTCTTCTAGATAGTCGCGAATTCAATTCCCAGCAACCACATGGTGGCTCACAATCATCTGTAATGAGGTCTGGTGCCCTCTTCTGGCCTGTAGGCATACACCATACATGCAGGCAGAACACTGTATACATAATATAATAAATAAATCTTAAAAAAGAATCAAATAACCTGATGGGATGCCACAGGCCTTAATCCCAGCACTTGAGTTTGAGGTCAGCCTGGTCTACAGAATTAGATTCAAGACAGCCAAGCTCTACCCTGTCTCAAAAAAGAAAAAGAAAAACGAGAGAAAAAAGAAAGAGAGAGAGAGAGAGAGAGAGAGAGAGAGAGAGAGGAAGGAAGGAAGGAAGGGAGAAAGAAAGAAAGAAAGGAAGGAAGGAAGGAAAGAAGGAAGGAAAGGAGGAAGGAAGGAAGGAAGAAAGAAAGAAAGAAAGAAAGAAAGAAAGAAAGAAAGAAAGGGAAAAATAATAAAGTCTTTTTTAAAAGTACAGATCAAGCTGGGACGGCGGTGTGCATCTGCAATGCCGGCACTCTGGAGGCTAAAACAGGATTGCGAATTTGAACCAATCTGGGCCGCAAGGCAGGCTCTCAACAAACAAGCCAGTTGAAACAGAGGCTGGAGCGGGGCTCGGTGGGAAAGCACACACTTAGCAGCCACTGTTGCCCTGGTTTCATCCCCAGCACTAGGAACGGGCTGTAACAGATTTCCACAACAAAGAGGTCCTATCCCCATTTCAACAGATAAGAAAACTGCAGATGGGTTCTGATGTCTTTAATGTCCTCAAACCACACTCTCTCCGTGAAATCGAGGGGAGGAGAGTAGAAGTAACATTCTAAATATGACAGACAGTTTGTGGATTGTTGTACAAGTCCTCAGTAAGTTGGAAATGTTTCTAGATCCATTCGTACACTCTGAAGTAACTGTGACTATAATTGAGGGCCATTCATCCCCTCATTCAAATCTGCATTAAGCTGTCTCCCTTATGCACAACCCCGCGTTAACAGCTAATGGGATACAACGTGACTTTTCAAATAACGCCACCTCTAAAGGACTTAGCAATCTAATCAGAGCAGCAGGAATGTCACATGAGCCCCAGCTGAGAACACATCTTCCTAAGCAAAAGAAGCAGCTGGGAGATGTTGTCGCCCACCTTTATTTCTAGTCCTTTGTAAAGCTAATTGTCAGAATGGCAATGTCTTACCTTGTAGCATTTTAAAGATTAGTTTGAATTTTCAAAACAAAAATGTACTTAAAGAGGGAAAAATGACTCAAGATCAAATTAAATCTTGAACAGAGACAGTAAGTTTGTAACAGTGTATACAAAGTTAATCACAGTAAGTTAGCAATACAAAAATTAAACTTGAGCTACTTTTAGGATTTTCCTTTGACAAGTTAGGATCACAAATTCAGCATATTTAGAACAGGGACTTATATATCTCAATTATGATTACCTCACATGCTGAACAATGGTGGTGCGCACGCCTTTAATCCCAGCACTCAGGAGGCAGAGGCAGGTGGATCTCTTGAGTTTGAGGCCAGGCTGGTCTACAGAGCGAGTTCTAGGAAAGCCGGGGCTGTTACATAGAGAAACCATGTCTCAAAAAAAACAAAAACAAAAACAAAGAAACAAAAAGATTACCACACGCAAATGCCATAATTATTCCATGTGCAGTAATACATACATACAAAGTAAGATAAATTATTTTAATACTTTACCTATCAAAAAGGATTTGAGGGGATTAGGGGTACAGCTCAATGGTAGAATTCATGTTAAAGTATATGTGAACCCTGGATTTAATCTCCACAAAAAAAGGGCAAAAAAAGAAAAAGTAGCCATGGTATGGATAATTTAGCAGTACACTTCTAAGTACCTATTTTTTCTGTATATTATTTGAAAAAATTGAAAATACTTAGTAAATTTAAAAATAGATCTTCAAAAGCTAATAGTTCTCTCAATACCAAACTCTTTTCCCTACCAAATATAAATGTACATTTCCATAACTAACCCATTTGTGACAGCTGTGGTTCTCCAACCCTCAAACACTTTGAAAATAAAATATAATCATAATCACAAACAGCACACATAGCAATTTCAAAACTGCAGACAGCAAAGCTGTAATCTAGCAATCAATCAGCCGTTGTGTGGACACAGCCTTTTCCAGACAGGACGCCTTGGTTCAGCGGCTCTGCATGCGTGGGAGCTGTCCCCACATGTGTTCAGGGCAGCACGGTGCGGGGCTGAGGTCCTGAGGCTGCGTGTGAAAGGAAGGGCTCCGTGAGCGGAAGCCTTTGACTCAGGTTCACTCTTCAGAATTTTCTTCTCTGCTTTCTTTAACATCTCCCGTGCTTTCCTTGTGAGAGTCCTGGCTGCTGGCATCAAGAAAAGAGCTTTCTTCCTCATTCTCTCTTTCTTCTTCATAAGAGCTAAAGAAAGAAACGTTATCGATCTATCAAAGGGAAAATGCGCTGGTTGCAGAGGCACACAGCCCTGTGTGACCATGCCTTCCTGTAGGTGGCGCTCCTCCAGTCTACAGCTCCGACAGCTCCCAGGAGAACCAAGGAAGCACCAATGGGAAATCAATATCCCTGACAACCAACTTATCTTGAAACTTGACTCCTTATATTTCTTTCTTTCTTTTATGGTTTCTTGAGACAGGATTTCTCTATGTAGCCCTGGCTGTCCTGGAACTAGCTCTGTAAATCAGGCTGGCTACAAACTCACAGAGATCTACCTGCCTCTACTTCCCCAGTGCTGAGATTAAAGATGTGCGCCACCCACTGGTGCCTCCTTATATTTCAATGGAAAGCAGGCCGTATCAGAAACATAAGCTTACTGTAAGAACAAAATGCTTTATCACTGTGTAACATTTATATTGTGTCAAACATGGTAAAATATGAGTGTATTTTACAATGGTTCACACGCACTCCCGTAAGTAAGAGGTTTGAAAACAACAGGGAAGGGCAGAGCATGCTTCCCTGCACACGCTACCTTTCTTTATCCGATGTGTGGCTTCTCGGCTCTGGCCTGGTGATGTTCTCAGACACTTTTCCACCTTGGCCTTTCTCTGTAACAAACTCCTCAGACAGGCCTAGTGCTTTTAGGGTGTCAGAATAATGCTTTTCTGCTGCCAATCTTGCATTTCTCTACAGGAGAGACAAACCTTTTTAGATAGGAGCAAAAGCTAGAAATTTCTACTATGATGTATGGATTTAAACGCATCAGTGAAAACTAAGATCTACAGTCTCAGTGACTGAAATATGCTGCTTCTATGACTGACATGTTTAGGCATGGACCAAGAGAGACTCACATGTGTGCCCAGAGGACAGGTACAAGAATGCTCAAGGCAGTATTGTCTGTAATAACCGAACACTGCGAGAAGCCCAAAGCCTGTCAACATCTGGATGGGTAAACTATACTACAGTCACAAGTAGAAAAATGAATCAATGAAAATGAATAAAGTAGTTAACAGCCACAACACGGCATAGCAGATAACTTACTAATGTAACACTGAGCAAAAGGAACGCTCAGAAGAACACAGAAGACTATATCTAGTAGACTCAGTTACCGTAAGTCCAAAAACAGGAAAAACTGAAAAGAAGGCAATGCTGATCCCCAGTTAGAGACGGTGACCTCTAGAGGAGGTGGCTGAGTGCTGACCTGTAATGACTTGTCACACTGTGGTCGACTTTTAAGATTGCATAAAGCTACCCCTTGGAAAAGATCAATAAGGAAAGAGAATAATGAGCCACATGCATACAACCCCACTACTCAGGAGACAGAGGCTAGAAGAGGATTGACACAATTTCAGGCTAGCCTGGGCTACATAATGAGTTCCAGACCAGCCAGCAGGGGTATACAGCAAGACCTGTCCAAACACAAACCAAGGTCTTGTGTCTGCTTCAGCTCGGAATGCAGGAGCACACGGCAGTGGCTGGACAGCTCTTGTCCGCACCTCGAGTAGTTCTCAGTCTTATATGCCATGACCTCAGACCATCAAAGACAAAACCAACAATATTGTTATCTCTACTTTATGGAAGAAAAAAGGAATGTTTAGAACTGAGGTCAAGTCTCTTGAATGACACTTCTTGGAGGTTCACAGGAATTGTAAGGACCCTTTCATAGTTGCAGCTAATTGAGGGATAGGGGGTATCAGCTCAGTGGTGGAGCGTTTATAGAGGCATGCTTGGAGCCCTGACTTAAATCTCTAGTACCACAGAAAAACCAAACCAATGAACAAAATACCCAAACCTAAAAAGAAAAGCCTTCAATCCCAGCACATGGCGGGTGAAGTGCACGGCCTGGCCACCAGAGAGGCCTACACAGCAAGAGCCTGTCTGGAAAAACCAAGGCATAGTCTTCACAAGCTGAAAATCAGCCCTGAGCCCACAGGCTTCAAGCAGCTACACGGTGACTAGGTGCTCGGGTCGTTGGCTTCTGTTGGCTTCAGTCCAATCTTAGTTCCTCCGAGTGGATCTTACAGGAGACAGGGGCCAAGAATTCCCTCTGAACCTCCACCTAAAACAAGGGTCACGAGGAACAGCCCAGTTCCAGTGGACCAACAGCACCCCATATGTAGAGTGTGAGACAGCGTCCATCAACGCCCGAGAAAACGACACCACAGCTGCTCAGATAGCAGTATTGATCTGATCTCTGATGGTCTGATGTCATGGCATATAAACGCTGAGAACTATGGCTGAGCGGTGGCGACACACACCTTTAACTCCAGCACTCGGGAGACAGAGACAGGTGGATCTCTGTGAGTGTGAGGCCAGCCTGGACTACAGAGTGAGTTCTAGGACAGCCAGGACTACACAGAGAAAAAGCGGGTGGTCTCTATCGGTCCGGCAGAGCCAAGGGTGAAAGGTACAAAGGGGAGGTAAGAGCTTAGGAGAGTCAGTGGGAAACAGGCTAAAGAGGCCAACGGGGGGCCGGGGGCGTAGCTGAGGTGGACTGTTTGCCCTGCCAGCCTCAGGCTCTGAGTCTGATCCCTGGCACCACATAAGATCAGCTGTGGTGGCACACACCTGTAATTCCAGCACTCAGGAGGTAGAGGCAGGAGTTAGAAGTTCAAGTTCACCTTGGCTTTGCAGGAGTTTGAGGCCTGAGATGCGTGGGATCAATGAAGGCTAGCAAGATGTGCAGGGGACTTTACCATTGCGCTGTGACCTGGAAGTTCATCCTTTGGGAGGAGGGGTTAACGGAAGCAGATCAACTAGGTTCTGACCCTAGTTTACCATTTGTTAACTATAAACCTGATTAGTTACCTTCTTTGGACTTGAGTTACATGATTCCCCCGCTTCCAGAGGTAATCTTGGGGAAGTTAACGACAAGACCCCTGAGACCTTCACTGAAAACGGGAAAGAACGGAATTCACAGGAACAGACAACTGCACTGTTGTCAAGGTGTACTAACACACCCATTTTGACAGCACGGGAAATATAAAGATCTGCTCTTTGGTTTTTAATGCTTTTAGGCCTGGAGGGATGGCTTAGTGGTAAGAGCACTTATTCTTACAGAGGCCCTGGGTTCAGTTCCCAGCAGTCATATGGTGGCTCACAACTCCAGTTCCAGGGATCTAATGCCCTTTGATCTCTGCAGGCAATGCATGCACATGGTGCACAGACATACATGCAGGCAAAACACTCACACCCATAAAATGAAATAATTTAAATAAATAAACATCAAATTTAAAATGCCTTTAAGAAACAGGGTCTCACTATATTGCACACACTGGTCTCAAACCAAATGGTTTAATTCATCAAAAATCTACCACCAATATCTCGAAGCCTCACCAGGAGAGCAGAACCACGCCGATTAAAAAGAACAGGCACTAGCTGGGCATGGTGGCATTCACCTTTAACCCCAGTGGGAGGCGGAGGCAGGAGGATCTCTGTGAGTTTGAGGCCAGCCTGACCTACAGCGTGAGATCCAGGACAGGCTACACAGAGAAACCCTGTCTCAAAAAAACAAAAACAAACCAAAACAAAAAAGGCCAGGCACTAGAAGCAGACCGTGGCAGGAATGTCTTGAGGCACACTGGGTTAATGGAATGTTCTTTATTGAGCTATGAGCCTCATCAGATCTTAAGCAAAATTACCTCCATGGTGAACTGGATGAAGCTGCCCCAGAAACAGCATGTCTCATGTACTAACAGGACATATAAGAAAGACGAAGGACAAGCTTGGAGGCCAGAAGCACTGACAAACAGAAGGTGGGAACGGCTCTAGATGCCAACAAACACAACCTGGGCAACTCTTTCAAACAGCATCGGCCTCTTCTGAAGTTTCTCATCTCTTTCTTCCAGTTCTTGTCGATACTCTTTCATCCTTGCCTTTTCACTCTCTCTAGAATCAGATCAAGGGAATGGCATTTTAAAAGGTCGGCTACGGAAGCTGCATTAGGACACTGACTTCAGAAGACAAATCAGAAATTCAGAGCACACAGTTCAGTTTGGTTCCTTTCCTAGACTGGTAAGATTCTCATAAATCCAGAATAAAAATCCCAAATTATGAGAGCACATATTGTACTGCCCTGGGGATGGTCTGGGCATTTCAAAAGTCTTCAAGGCATAAGGTATAAAAAAAAACTGGCCCTATCTCCTCAGGTGTGACCAGAGGCTTTGTAGCCATCAGTCAGGCCTGGCACCCTCCACCGCTGTGCAGACTGTGAACTAGAAAGCTCTGCCCCAGTGTGTGTGGCCGCTGTGTTCTGGAGCAGTGTCTGTCCTGAGCTGGAGAGTCTGGGTGTCCCCAGCCCCAGAAAATGTGTGTCATCCAGAATCCCTCACAGCTCTGAGTTTGCTCCTGTTATTTATGGCTTTATGCTGCTTCTTGGTACCCCAATTCTCATCCGTGTCTTTCCAGCCCCAGGCTAGTCCAACCCCAGTGCTGTCCACTCAGCCTGTGGCTCCTCAGTGCAGCTCTGGGCTCCCTACCTGCTGTGATCAGTGGGGACTCCTCAGAGCTCTATTTTCCTGTAGGCACCAGCTCTCCTTCCTGCCTTCAGAGCCCAAGGAGGAGGAGAATGAAGGGGGCTGGCCGTTCCTCTGGAGCTCTGCCCAGCCTGGCTTGGTGAGGTTCCTTGATCACCCTTTCCTTCCTGTCTTCTCTGATTCTTTTCCCCAGAAACATCCTGAGGACCTCACCTGTCACACTGGCTGATCATGTCTCTGTGGGTGGGAGCAATGGCAGTACCCTCCTGTTTGGAACTGAGGGAAGCGCGAAGTATGGCCAAGGCAGGCAGGTGCCGAGAGCCAGGCCCTCTTTGGGGGTTGTGGGTGGGTCCTCCTGCTGCTGTCCTGCAGTCCCTGACAGGTGGGGCGTGGGGTCCACAGACAGTGGGATATTTGTATTCTTAACCCTGTGCCATTAGAGAGGCTGCCGCCTCGGACAGGCCAGCCCTCCTCCTCTCGGGTACGTTCTTGTTGCTCAGACTATATTTCAATAAAAAAAAATCTTCTTACCATGCAAAAAAAAAAAAAACAAAAAAAAAAAAAAAAAAAAAAAAAAACTGGCCCAAAACATGTTTTATTTATAAGTATGCAAAACCAAGAATATCTGGTCCAAATCAGGCATCTTTAAAAAAAATTCTTTCAAATCAAGACCCTGCTTTTCTTGCCCCTCTAAGTGAGACCACCTAAAGGTCAGCAGCAACACTGCACGAATATCACTGTACTTATTCTTTGGACTAGATCCCACAGTGAATTAAACTGCACTCTTTTTCTCTATGTGAGATATACTAAAAGCAACCAAGACAAGAAAGTTTCATGGTACAGAAAATAATTATACTTTACAATAGTTATGCTTACTCATACTTAGCAAATTATTAACTTTTATAGGTAAACACTGTATTCCTAAGGAAATTTTTGCTCAAGTTCATCAAACTAGGATCTAGGGCTGGAGGGATGGCTCAGAGGTTAAGAGCACTGACTGCTCTTCCAGAGGTCCAGAGTTCAATTCCCAGCAACCACATGGTGGCTCACAACCATCTATAATGAGATCTGGTGCCCTCTTCTGGTGTGCAGACATACATACAAACAGAACACTGTATACATAATAAATAAATAAATCTTTAAAAAAAAAACAAAAAAAACTAGGATCTATCAGTGGACTAACGCTATACTGTAAAGGAATACTCACTGTAATTAAAAGCAAATATATGTATTTGGTTCTTATAAGTCAGATGAATGGTTAGTAATTCATATTACTTACCCAACTTTGGAGGAGAGATTTTCTTGCTTACACATGACTATTCATATGTGCAGTGTTTGCAACCTTGGTTTTCAACTCTGCTCTAGAGAATTCTAGTATTCTGCAGCTGCTGTTACTTGTCACAGGGAAACAGTCACAAGGTGCAGTGTGTACCTACAATGCACTCACTCTAGCCATTGGATTTTGTACAGACTTAAAACAGAACTCCTTGGCTTACTTAATTGAAAAAATACTCTCGGCTGGGATGCAGCTCAGTGCTGGAGATTTTTTCAGTGATGCATTGTACAATCACAAGTACTACAAATAAGGCTAGCTCAGTTGTAGAGTCTGTGATTTGCTGGCAGGTATGAGGTCCTGGGTGTGATCCACATATGCCCAGCACCATGTACGTATGTGTATATATGTATATATGTATGTATAGATGCCAAAAATTGTGTAATATATAAATAACACACATAAAGAAAAGGGTTTTATGCTAGTATTAAAGCATGGCTATTAACTATGGCCATAGCAGAAATTATTTGTTCCACACAGTCTCATGGTTCTTGCTACAGAGGTAAGTGTATACACTGATTCTCATCATGTGTATGTGTGCATATATGTATGTAGAAGTTGAGTACAAACAGCCAAAGATTATTTAAATCCATAAATTTAAATAATCTTTGATTACTCAAGATGCCACACCATTTTCATATCTAGGCATTTGCTGGTTAAAAAAGAAAAGGAAAGAAAAGGAAAGAAAGGAAAAGAACCAGGTTTGGACACGAGCATTCGAGTTTCAGGACTCTCCCGTGATACCTGAGATGGTTTACTCTGGATTTAGACACCTGGGCTAAGCCCTGATGTGCGTCATAAGCTTTAACTCGGGTTGCCAAGAGCTTCTGCAATTCTTTCATTCTTTGCTTCTGTTTAGTTAGGATCCGATTTCTCTCTTCTTCCAACATTTTCTTTTCCTCAAGTGATTTCCTGAGGGCAACAAACTAAGGCTTAATGCACTTAAGCCAAGAAGAAAGTTGTCCAGCAAAGATTTAACATGGAATAATTCAAAAGCTGAAAAAAAGGCCATCTTTTGACCCAAATCTGACTTGTGGAACTGGAAATCCAAGTAACGCTGACAGTGTAAGCTCGTCTATTCCAGGGAAACAGAATCACATTCCTTTCTGAGAAGAGCATTCCTACCAAACGATTCTCTACCATATAGTACAATACCTTACCGAGAAGTTAGTAATTTCAGATTTACCAAGCTAAAACCCACAGGGCTGCATGTGCCAGTACAGCGACCACATGCCAGGCAGCGCCCATCCCAGGGCCTTACCTGATGGCTTGTTCCCGCCCTCGGGAAGACAGGGTAGGCATTGGAGGGCTCCACAGACCAGGCCTGGGCTTTGCACACGGACTTCTGACCGGGGACATCCGCCTTGGAGACAGATAAGGCCAGCATGTTTCTTTCAGATTTTCTTCGACTGCTCTCATGTCTGCCAAGACTTTCTGTCTTTTAGCAGAGTCACACGGGGATTCCTGAAGACCACACTGTTTATAAAGAGTGGAGGGGTTCAGGAAGCAGTGTTCTGAGGAGGGCTCCTTCCATCGGTTCTCAGCCAAGTCTCCATCATCAGGGCTCAGGCACCTACACCTGTGTTTACCCCGTGGCTTTCCAGGACTTCTGGGGTCCCTGAAAGGTCTGCCAGCTGGCCTATAGGGCCAGGATGGATTCTGCAGCAGTTCTTGGGCCCTTAGCTGCATCCTGATGTTCCGAAAGAGCTCTTCTTCCTTCGACTTGTCACTGGAAGCTGACCTGTAAATAGAATGAGGCATGGGTCTGGCTTTAAAGCGCTTCGTTTTCCTCTTAGACTTAAAAAGGTCTCTCAGCTGCTTCTCCCGGACCGCCCGCTTCTGCTCCTCCCTGGCAATGAACTTGAATGGCCTCTGGGAGGCCAGGAGCGCGGCTTTGTTCCTCTCCCTGGCGGTCCTCCTTTGCTCTTCCTTCTGCCTGACCAGATCCTCATACAGGGGCAGGAACAGGCAGGGGGGGACAGGATTGGCTCGGAATTTCCTCTTGCACTCAGCGTCGTCGACGTCGTCCCCGTCCCTTTCCAGATTCGCTCGGGCCTTCTGCGCCTCCTCTCTCCTCTTCTGCGCCTCCTCTCTCCTCTTCTGCTCCCTGAGCGTCATCTGAAAGGGCACGGGCACCGTAATTGTGGGCACCCAGGTTTTGGGTTTCTTCCTTGTTTTCTTAGCTGTTTGGAAGTCAGAGTTGTGCTGAATATAATCTTCTACAGAAAAGCCAGTCCACATGTTGTTGATGAGCTCCTTGGCATAGGCTGTCAGTCTGCTTCCCCTGGGAGTCTCTCTCTCCAGGGTGGGCGGCTCCTCGTCAGAAGTGGTGGACAAGGAGGGTGACCGGCCTACCTCAGGCTCTGAAAACGATGTCACTAACAAGACAGGGTGAGGGCAGTCCTTTTCCGATGCAGAACTAAGGAAGAATAATAATTAGGGCACACTTTCAATTTTATAGGGCCAAATGTTAGGATGGAGGCAATCACAGACTTTCTAAGATGAAGAGAAGACAGTGGCTGGACACGGCAGTGAAAAGTACCCTTTTATTTAGAGCAGAGCTGAGAGCGGACTGTCAGTTATCCAATCAACTCTCCCACTTTGCAGAGAAGGAACCTGGGACATCAGCTGCTCCTCATGCTCCTCAGAGTCACCATCCTGAATACGTCTGAGCATGCAGGTCCCTCCTACCTGGAACGCTCCTCTTTGCTCTAAAGTCTGGACTAGCAATCAGTCAGGACTGGCCCTGCTCACCCTGCGGACGGACACACACACATACACACACACACACACACCCGTCACCATCCTTAGAGCCCTCTCACACAGATTTTCCCACACGCCTGTGGACACACGTCTGCTGCCGCCCTGAAGCCTACTCCCTGCTTCCTGTCCTGCTATTCCTGTCCCTCCTCCAAGTCTGAACTTATTTGGACATGCTAGGGCACGCTAATGGAGGCCAAGATCAGAAGGATAAGGAGTTCAAGGCCAGCCTCAGCAGCATAGCAAGAGCCTGTCTAACAAGTATTAAGGGTTTGATCCCCAGAATTGTCTGGGGGAAAACAATTGAACTTAAGTGTGACACTTTTGTTGAAAATACTTTCCTGCCTCCCACCAGCAACTGAGCATGACCAGCTGCTCCTGTTTCTGAGACACTGGAGTGTCATGTCATACTGTGACCTCTTGGGGGTGTCAGATCCCAGGCAGGCCTGGCACACGGGAGATGCACAGACTAGGTCCTTCCTAGTATTAATGATATAAAGAGGTGGGATTCTATTCAAAATGTTTAATGGTTTATCAGTTTACTAAGGTCATTTGGTGGCCATATGTTTGTTTGTTTTTATTGTAATTTAATGTGTTTGCCTGCATGTATGTCTAAACCACATGTGTGCTTGGTGCCCTGGAGACTTGTGAACTGTCATGTGAGTGCCGGGAATTGAACCTGGGTCCTCTGGAAGAGCAGTCAGTGCTCTTAACTGCTGAGCCATCTCTCCTGCTCCTTCATCTTTGTTTGCCTGCTTAAGGATATGTATCAAAAATATTTAGGCTGGGCCATTTTGCTTATACATTCTTTCTTTAATTTTTGAAACATGATCTTATACTGTGTAGTCCAGGATGGCTTAGAACTTACCATGTTCCAGGATGACTCAAACTCTCAGCAGTCCTCCTGCCTCAGCCTCACAAGTGCTGAGAATTACAAGCATGAGCCATCGTGCCTCTCTCTCTCTCTGTCTCTCTGTCTCTGTCTCTGTCTGTCTGTCTGTCTGTCTCTCTCTCTCTCTCTCTCTCTCTCTCTGAGATAGGGTCTCATAGAGCCCAGGCTGGTCTCAAACTTGCAGTGTGGCCAAGGGTAACCTTGAACTCCCACCCCTCTGACCTCCACCTCCCAGATGCTGGAATTACAGTTGTAAGCAGCCAAGCTAAGCCTTTTGTTGTTGTTTGAGATACAGCCCTGGCTGTCCTGAAACTCATTCTGTAGACCAGGCTGGCCTCGAACTCTCAGAGATCCACCTGTCTCTGGCCCCCGAGTGCTGGGGTTAAAGGCATATTTAAAATCATGAAAATTAAGTTTAATTTTAAAAATGGGTTAACATGGGGTCATTAACGATACAAGTTTTTGGATCCTGTTTTTTTTTTTTTTTTAATCAGTTTAGTTTCAAGGCTTATTTCTACTGCGAACTTGCTTTTTTTGAAACTGTAAACTGACCCTTTACCTAATCCAGTTGGTCAGCTGTCTGTGCATCTCCCATGTGCCAGGCCTGCCCGGGATCTGACACCCCCAAGAGGTCGCAGCGTGACATGACACTCCAGTGTCTCAGAAACAGGAGCAGCTGGTCATGCTCAGTTGCTGGTGGAAGGCAGGAAAGTATTTTCAACAAAAGTGTCACACTTAAGTTCAATTTTTTTCCCCCGGACAATTCTGGGGATCAAACCCTTAATGCTTGTTAGACAGGCTCTCGCTGTGCTGCTGAGGACCTGATATTTAGGAGCAAATACTCTGGGATATTTTGTTCCACACTTTGTCTAAGGATTTCTCTTAGGTCAGTCCAAAGATGACACCGGACACAAACTTACCCAGAGGAGACACTAGAAGAATCTTCCCTGATGATCACTGGCCGGATGTCTTTTATATTTAGCTTGTCCTGGTACATTTTCTCTAATTTTGCCATGGTTTCTGCATGGGCAGCCTTCAGCTCTCTTAGTTTCCTGAAATACTCTTCATTAGAGTGGTAAATATCAGAAAAGTCCATGACGTCCTGGAGTGTCACACCTTCATTCTCCCTAGGAAAGCTGTTACCACCACCAGCCTGATTGGAGGAGAAACCCATTATGCGCTATTTGAAATGAAGAAACTAATTGATGCTGATCCAAATGCTGGTTCTTACAGAGGTCCCACTATGTAGCCTACACTGGCCTCACACTCCCTATGTACACCAAGTTAGCTGTGAAATAGTGATCTGACAGCCTGGTCCCTGGGATTAAAGGCATGTTCCACCATGCCTGGCTTCATTCCATTTTATAATGGTTAGATTCCTAGATAACCAACACGTCAGGACACTTAACAGTGCAGAAGACAGATGTGAACACGGCTACAAGGATTTCTACAAGTAGCTTCTTCTGAGTTGTGCATTTTTGCTGAGAAGAGAGAAGCCGCTGCCTGGACCCGGTCCAGGGGCTCCTGCCTCGTGGCTCCGAGGGCGTGCAGTGGAGAGAGGCCAGGGAATGGGGCCCAGGGACAAAGTTCTCAGTGGCTCTCCAAGGACCCAGGCTGGGAAGATCTTGGAGGGGAAAAGGACACGGGGCAAAGAGAGTTTCAGAGTCACCGTTGAGGGCAGCAAGAAGAGGAACGCCCACGGGTGACAGACACTTTGGGCTCAAGAAGAGAGCGTGGAGGAATGCTGCATGTACACTTGTATGTTGAAGACACTCCACATACAAGTCAGGACTGGAGCTTTTGACCAGACTTTCTCTCACTCCTTTTGCCCACCTTTCAGTTCTTTTGAGCCGATTCATTAAAGAGATAAAAGCCACACTTTCTAGAGCTGGAGAAACAGTGTAGGTGGTCAAGAGCTTGCCAGGAAGGCGTAAGAAGCTGAGTTCAATTCCCCAGGCTTGGCGACACATGTTTGTAACCCCAGCACCGGGGAGGTGGAGACAGGAGGATCCCTGAAGCCTCATCAGTGAGCCCCACGTTCCAGTGAGAGACCCTTTCTCAAACACCACCCCCCCAACCAACCACTGAAGACCACCACTAGAGGCTGTCCTCTGCCTCTGTGCACACACACATCATATGCACCTGAACACACACACATAATACAGCCCCAAGCCCCTCACTTTCTTCCCAAATACAATTTTTAATATTCTCAGTTGAGAAAATTGAGATTATATATGATACTATGCAAAATGGGCTGCTAACCATGGTTTTAAATTTAGCCTGCCACCTAGAAAAGGCTCAGAATGAAACAAAATATGTTCCCAAATTAGACTCATAATGATACAATCTCACAAAATAAGTCTGTTTAGTCTTTCCGATGGGAAAATTCAGCAGAGTCCATTATAAATAAGAAGTGTCCAGCTGGAAAGTATCTGCCGAGCATGTACCAGGCCATGGGTTCGTTCCCAGCATAACAGGAAAGGAGGCTATGGATGGATAGATGGATGGACAGACAGATGTACATATTTTTTAAATTATGTGCATACATGCGTGCATGGGTGAGGGCAGGTGCCCACGGAGTCTAGAAGTGGGTGTTCAATCCCCTGGAGCTGGAGTCACAGGTGGTTGTGAGTTGCCGGGTGTGGGTGGGTGCTGGCAACCAAATCCCAGTCCCCTGCAAGAGCACCAGGTGCTCTAACCACTGAGCAGCCCTCCATCTAGCCCCAGGGTTTGTTGCCTTTTTTTTTTTTTTAAGTGTTTGAGAGGTTGGTGTTGTTCCACTTGGGATAACTTCAAGAAAACAAATGAAAGAAAACAATTTTTTCTCAATAGAACTAATATGTAGAAACTTGTTATCAGCAACTCATAGGACCAAAGAACTATTAATGTATGTCACACAAGTCACTTAGGAGAACTGGTTTGCTGCTTTTGCAGAGGACCCAAGTTCAGTTCCCAGCATATACATGGTGGCTCATAACAATTCATAACTCCAGTTCTAGGGGATCAAGCACCCTCCTCTGGCCTCCCTGGGCACTACACACACGGCATACATTCACACAGATCCACATAGACAACCACCTCACATAAATAAAAATAGACCTAAAGGAGTGGGGATGAGGCCCTGCATTTGCTTCCTCTCTCAAAAATGCTCATGCTCCAGAAGTCTTCACAGCATACACACTCCCTCTCCACTTAACCACCACCTCAAAAGAGTCTTCATTGACTCTCCTCTTTGAAATGACAACTCTCCCAACTCACTGGAAGTCCCCTTTCTGCTTTATTTTTCCAGAAGTATTTAACCGCCAACCATCTACCTTATCCTGGCTGATCTGTATATCCATGCCTGCCCTGGCTTGAGAGTCAGCGTCACAAAGGCAAGGGTTTGTTTGCATTGTTCTTCTGGGTCCCCAGCCTCTAGGAAGGTACCCGGCCAAGAAGAGATGTCCAGTAAATATTTGTGGAAAGAAAGAATGTAGAGGTTAAAAACTGTGTAGGTTTCCACCAAAGGAAAGCAGCAGGTGTTTCTTTTACGTAAGACGGACCCATGCCAAGAAGCACAGGCTGCTGAAGGACCACACTGATCTTACTGAGTATGTAGAAAAAGGTCCACGTTCCGAACACAAACGAAAATCTAAACATCGGGCTGTGAAACTGCCAGTGTGTTCTATGTCTGTGTCCTCTAAGACACCAGGGAGCAGCTTTTAGACAGAACATCCATGGGCTCATCCATTCCTCCAGAAAATCTCTTAAAAGGTCCTGTGTCATCTACACTAAAATCAGCACGTGACTGTGGCCTGGAAGAAGTTCATGAAAGGGAGAAGCAGCAGTGTGGGAAGCAGAGGCAGGCCCAAGCAGGTGTGCTCGCCACTGGGCTCTGCACATGCCCAGTCACTGTTAACACATGCGAAACTGTTCAAGTCAACCCTCCTGCTCGTTTGTTTTCGACCCAGGACATGGATTGCTGGGAAGTGACTCCTGACTCAAGTCTCACCTCTGTCCTCTGCCCCAGGACTGTCTAGTGTGCCCAACACCGAATGCAACACCGAATGCAACACTCGGTTCTCTTCCCCCTTCTTCATAGCTAAGCTTTTCGTGTGGTAAGTGCCACTAGGTCAGAAGCTAATCCTGAGATTGGCTTGACCCACTTAGGGATGAGCCAACCCTCCCGCACCTGAGGCGGTACCAGTGTCAGCACCATGAGGAATTATTTGTGTTGTGGTCTACAGAGTTTATCTGAAGTTCTGGAATTCTTACTAATTTTTCTTCTTTTCAAGGCTGAGGCTGGTGGCACCTGTCTATAATCCCAGCACTCAGAAGGCAGAGACACAAGTACCCTGAGTTTAAGATCAGCTTGAGCTACAGAGTGACTTTGAGGCCAGTCTGTTCTACATGCGATCCTTTGGGTAAAAGCATGGTGGCACATGCCTTTAATTTCAACATTTGGGAGGTAGAAATAGGTGGATCTCTGTGAAGCCCAACCCGTCTCCATGAGTTCCAGGTCAGCCAGGGCTACACAGTGAGACCCTGACTCCAAAAAAGAAGAAAAGAAGGAAGAGGAAGAGGGAAAGAAGGAGGGAGAAAGAGTTTTACAACGCTGAGTGAGATATGCACACCTCAGCCTCCCAAGTACTGAGATTCTAGCTGCGGGCCATTGTACCCAGCTAATGTTTGAGATTTATTTGTTTGTTTGTTTATTTTGGGGACAAGGTCTTGCAACATTGTCCAGGCTGGCCTGGAACTTTCCGTATAGTCTAGGCTGGTCTCAAACTCACAACTCTGACTCAGTCTTCTAAATGCTCTAACATTAGGTATCTGAAAAGGAGACTATGTTCAGTGTTTATCACCATAACTAACGTGTAGCTTTCCAAACAACAGACACCGTTTTGTAAATGCTAATACCAGTTAGACACCGAGCAGTGTGTGGCAGATGCCCAGCCTGCCCAACACCCAGGGTCCCTCTGGAAAACGGCTCCCACTGGCCCAGCAACTATGCTTGCCTTTCTCTTGTTACCCATGAGTGCTTTCATAACCCTTTTATTTCTTTAGGAAAACAAGAACCACCAAAGGGACATTTGCTCGTCTCCCCACCTACAGAACTCCCCTCTGGGGAAACTGTTCTCTAGTCTTCATTTTTAGGGATCTGATGCAGCAACTGACAATTCACCTTGACGTTTCTCAGTGAATGTGGATCTCCCTGGCCCTTGTCCTAGTCCCCTACCAGGGTGGTTGATCCTTAATCTTTCTTCTATTATGTCTCTACCAAATGTTGAGGTTCTGTGTGTGTGTGTGTGTGTGTTTCACTCTCCACTTCATTTTTTGACTGAGGGCTCTCAGCAAGTTCCAGGGTGTAACACGAACCTTAAAAGGTCTTATTAATAATAATAAAAACAACAACAACAACAAAAACACCAGAGCTGGGTATAGGGGTGAAAGCTGAAAGATCAGAGAAACAGAACAGACCATAGCCAACTCCTCAGGCTGATCCTGTTTCCACGAATCCTCAGACTGAAAGCCTCTGAGTCCTCACCCCTGAGGGTCTCAGTTGAACTGCTGCTCAGTTCCTGTCTCCTCAGGCCTTATACACGTTCTCCACCCAGCCATGTCCCTTCCTGGGATTAAAGGTGCGTGTGCTTTCCAAGCAAAGGCATGAGATCTCAAGTGCTGGGATTAAAGGTGTGTGCCACCACTGCCTGACTCTGTTCCCTGTGTGGCCTTGAACTCACAGAGATCCAGACAGATCTCTGCCTCCCGAGTGATAGGATTAAAGGCGTGTGCTACCACTGCTGGCCTTATGTCTAATCTAGTGACTGGCTCTGTCCTCTGATCCCCAGATAAGTTTTATTGGGGTGCACAATATATCACCACACCAGGGACCTGCCTGTCTCTTCCCCTTCCAACACTGGAATTACAGACAAATGCCAACACAGCAGATTTTTACTTGGGTCCTGGAGACCCAAACTCAGCTTATAATATAAATCTTCAGTTAACAGTGCACTCTGGAATATAACTACAACTATACAAAAGATGGGTTTTTCTGCCACAGCAAGCCAAAGTATAAATTAATTTCCAAGTGAATTATTCAAACTGGTAGTGTTATAATTACTACTAATTTATGTAAATTACTCTTTAGAAATGACACTCATTCTCTCCTTTGGTTCTTATTAACAACTGAATGAGGTGAAAATAGAGACAAGTATGGTCCTTTTATAGATGAGGAAATAAAGTCATGTCCTAAAATCACCCAGCAAGTAATAGAGAGTAAATTCCCATCCAGGATCCCAATACTTCCCTCCATCAAACTGTCTTCTGTAACCTGTTACAGCTCATGTTGAGCGGTAGCTTCATCAAGTATTAAACCAATGCTAGGATTCTGACCCCACTCATGTCCAGCCTCTCCATCTGCTTTGCTCTAGATAACCTCAAGTTGTTTGCTCTTGAAAGTTTTGCTACAGGCTAGGCATGGTGCCTCATACTTTTAATCCCAGTATTTGGAAGATGGAGGCAGGAGGATCAGGAGTCTGAGGTCATCCTCAGCCATAAATAGCAAGTTTGAGGCCATCCTAGACCAAATGAGACCCTGTCAAAAAAAAAAAAAAAAAAAAAAAGCTAAGTTGTACTCAGTTGGTACAGCACTCACTCAGCAAGCACAAAACAAAGCCTTCATCCAGTCCCAGCACTGCTAGGAAACCAATGTGGGGCAGGCACAGGCCTGTGTACCTGGTACTTTGTATCAGAAGAGTGCTAGCTTAAGTTCTGGACTTCTAAAGAGAATAGAAGCTGGGCATGGCACACACCTTTAAACCCAGCACTCAAGAGGCAAAGGTAGGCAGAGTTCTGTGAGCTTGAGGCCAGCCTGGTCTACACAGTGAGTCCAGGACAGCCAGGGTTACATAGAGAGACCCTGTCTCAAAAAACAAAAATAAGGACGCTGAGATGGTTCAGCTGTTAAGAGCACCAACTACTCTTGCAGAGGACCTGGGCTTGATTCCCGGCACACACATGGTGGTTCACAACCATCTGTAACTCCCAGGAACTCACATGGTACACATTCATACACATACATTTAAAAATAAACAAACAAATACAATGAATAAAATAGATAAGGAAGGGAGTGATTCTGTTCAAAATACACTGTATGAAATTCTCAAAGAATAAAGAAGTGGAGAGAACAGAGGACAGACTGTGCTCTTCTGCTGGAAACATATCCAAGACGTAATACTGAAAATGGTTTGTGAAAAGACTTCATAGTGCCCTTATGACCCCTTTAGGAAACAATGGGATTTCGCCGATTTGTTTCTCTGGATCTTTCTCTATATCCGTGGAGCATCTATCCACTGAACTTCAAGCACGCTCTCCAAAGGACTGTGCTAAAATCCAGTACTAACCAAAACCTTAAAGTAATAAAACACACTTTTGAAAACTATGGGTACATCAGTTTTCCTCAAGGTAAAAACAAAAATAAAATAAAATGATAAAACAAAAATCAAAGAACTAAAGAATTATTTATTCCTAAGATATACTGTAGAATAGGAAGTTCTGCTCTTTGCACACTCTAGAAACAGCTACAAAAACGCTCTCCAAGAAAGTTTTGCAGCAACCTTTAGTTGGGGCAGAGAGCGGGGAGGGTCTGCAGAGCGCGCCTCGTTTCCACCGGTCCACGCCGGTGAGGACCCAAACCCCCCCCCCCCCCCCCCCCCCCCCCGGCCCCGGCCCGGCTCCCACATTACCGACGCCCGCGCCGGCCGCATCCCTGTCTGTTCCTCCTCCACGGCTGCCGCCAACGCCGCTGCTACCAAGGACTCTAAGGGGTCTTCGTGTTCGTACTGGGCGCCCCTTGCTCCGGTGGTGGGATTTACCGGCAGGTGGAGACTGGCGGCCGCCTGCCTGGCCGCCCGGTGCGGGGAAGCCATCGCCCCGCCTCGAGCCTCAGCGCCCGCGCCGGCCCGGGGCGGGTGAGCTGGCGCCGCCCCGACCTCGCAGATCCTGGCTTGGGGCGGGCGGTTACTAGGGGCTCGGTTACTAGGGACGCTACAGGAGGTGCGAGGGACCAAAAGACAGACATGCAATGTCCTTTCTCACTGTCACAAACCCGAACCCTCCATCCAACTAAAGTCCAATGATGGTTTCTGGTACAAGCCTGCGGTTAACGAACGGGGCATTCTGGATAACTGTCTGAAACTACACAGCAAGCCAATATCAAACGTCATCCTCAAGCGAGTTGCTCAATGATAGTCTCATCGGCGCCGAGATCGTTACAGATTCACGTGAATGACACCCAGGGCTAGGGACTGAGCCTTTCTCTATTTTATTCTTGCTTTTTTTCGGTCTAACCACCTAAACCAGGACTTCTCGCGGCATACGAACTTTAAGCAGATAGAGCGCGTTTTTACTAAATTTTACATATTGGGGCATAGCGTAATCGGAAAGCACCGGGTGTCGTGTGACCGCCCCAGAAAAGATCAGGCTTTGCAGCGTGCTATCCAACATGGCAGAGAACGAGGTTCATCTCCAATTGACAAGAACCAACACGAGTTGACCAATCAGAAGGAGAAGACTTAGTTATCCCGCCCTCTTTTCTCTCGGCTGACCAGTAAGGGGCCAGACATGGAAGGTGCCTGTAGCTCCAACCAGTGAGTGACGGGGTGGCTTGCCTTGGGTTCTGTAGCTAGCTAGCGGCAGGATTGAGGGGGGCGAGAGCCCACAGGGACCACACCCTCCTGACTCACCCCCACCAACCTCCCGATCGGCTTTAGGCCCCTTGGGATGGTCTCTCAGTGGGCACTGTGAAGTCTCAGCCACCTGCGATCTAACACTCTACTTGCAGAAGCCCAGCTAACGCCCCTGTCCCCGCCATAAGGTTCCAGTAGGTTCCGCATCATGCAGCACACCTTCTGCAGAACCTGTCCCTGACGCACATGCTACCACGCCTTCCTTGTTCACACGTGTATGTACCAGCACCTGTGAAGTCTCCATCACCTCACCTTCCTCGGCTCCTCTGTTTGGGCTGAGCTTGCTTCTCCCAACGGAACTGAAAAGCCAGTTGATTCTGAAAAGCCGGAGCTGGGTGAGATCCATAGTCGTCCAACTGACAGGATAGTGACTTCCTGTCAGCCACATGCAACTAGTTCTGGGATGGGATTTGGTGTAAGCCAATTCAAAACCAAGACAGACCTACAGACTGAAGCCCTGTAAGTGGATGGTTTGAGGAAAATGAAATAGTAAATCACAGGTAAGAAGGACATTAGTGTGTACATAGAACAGGAAAGTTTCAGTATTCTAAATTTGCAGACATCTAATAACAACTAGAGAGAATATGGAGCTTGAAATGGGTAGATCTGCAAGAAAATAACATCATCGTAGAAGAACTGCTTTTGCACTTTTGTGTTGAAATGTAACCACACAGGACAGTGAATAATTTTGAATGTATAGTTACATGAATTCTGCAAGAGTGAATACCCATGAAACCACAGCCTTATTAAGATACAAAACTTTAGCCAGGCATGGTGGTTGCACACCTTTAGTCCCAGCACTTGGGAGGCAGAGGCAGAGGCAGGCAGATCTCTGTGGGTTTGAGGGCACATAGTGTATTCCAGGTTAGCCAGAGTTACATAGTGAGACCTTATCTACAAACAAACAAACAAACAAACAAACCATCCTTTGTGCCCCACCCCCAGGTTATTAGCCTTCCATTCCCGGCCCAAATCCTCCCTTTTTTTTAAAAAAAAAAGTCAGGATTATTTTCTTTTTCATTTTTCTTTCTTTCTTCTTTGTTGTTGTGCTGTGTATCAAACCAAGGGCTCTGAGCACACACACCACACACCACAGGCAAATGCTCTGTCACTGAGGCACATCTGTAGCCACGCTCAGTTTCTTTTGTTCAGCATAACTTTTTTTTTTAAAGATTCATGCTTGCATTGTGTTCCTTTTAAATTCCTAGACAGTATTTTTTGCTAAAATGGCTTTCTAATATTGGATGACTTTCCCTGAAATTTGTGCTATTCACTACTATGCAAAAGTTTTAATTTTTTTGTTTTTTGTTTTTGAGAAAGGGTTTCTCTGTAGCCTTGGCTGTCCTGGAACTAACTCTGTAGACCAGACTGACCTTGAACTCAAAGAAATCCATTTGCCTCTGCCCCCCAAGTACTGGAATTAAAGGTGTGTGTCACCACTGCCCAGACAATGGTTTTAAATTTAATCTGCATCATTAACATTTTATGTCACTTAAACTTTTGAATTTGTGTGTGTGTGTGTGTGTGTGTGTGTGTGTGTGGTGTGTGTGCAGGTGTATGGTGTGTATATGTGTGTGTGTGTGCAGGTGTATGGTGTGTATATGTGTGTGCAGGTGTGGTGTGTGTGCAGGTGTATGGTTTATGTGTGTGTGCAGGTGTAATGTGTGTGCAGGTGTATGGTGTATGTGCAGGTGTGGTGTGTATGTGTGTGTGGTGTATGGTGTATGTGTGTGTGCAGGTGCGGTGTGTGTGTGTGTGTGTGTGTGTGTGTGCAGGTGTAATGTGTGTGCAGGTGTGGTGTGTGTGTGCAGGTGTATGTGTGTGTGCAGGTGCGGTGTGTGTGTGTGTGTGTGTGTGTGTGTGTGTGTGTGTGTACTATGGTGGGAATGTGGAGATCACAGAACAGCTTTCCGGGGGTTTGGTTGTCCTTCCGCCTTGGCAAGGCAGGATCTCTATTATTTCTGCTTGCTGTGCCGTGCACTCCAGGCTGACTTCTGGATTATTCTATTTCTGCCTCCCCTATCCTTACAGGACTGCTGTATTACAAACCCATGACCACATCCGGCTTTTTACAAGGGTTCTGGGATTGAACTCGGGTAGTCAGGCTTGTGTAGCTAGCTTTGCTTTACCTGCTGAACTGTCTCCCTGGCCCATTTTCTTAAATTTATCTGTTTATTAATTTTTATTAGAAAATTGAGCCTTGGCCCAATTTTTTTTTCTATCAATTTACGTCTTCCAGAAAGCACCTATCTGAAAAAGTTAAAAGTATAAGAGATTTACTGTGGGAAAAGCTTTGAAAGGTAAAGTAGGACAACCTTCAGGAAAAGACACAATTGGATACCTTAGGAGGAAAAAGAAGAACTGGATGGAAAGAGGTTCAAAGCACATGCAGCTTAGAGAAAACCTCAGCCGGCTCAGGAGTTCCCGCACTCAGACTGCTACAAAACAGAAACGCACAGACCCTGTTTGCACTGTTCCCTCCATCACTGGCGTGAGTTCCCAAGGATTGGCCTGCTCTCAGGTGGGATGCTGTGGAGGATCCTATTGGTGCTATGGCTGGAGGCTGTGAGCCAGCCACGTGCTAATAGTTAACAACCTGCTGTGTGTGGTTCTTGTAAGTTTAAATTTTCTGACAAAAGGACTGTAGCACACACCTTATCAAAATGCATAATCTTTACTGTAAATGCTTCACAGACAATCATCCTTTGAGAATTTTCATTGAGTTTTGCTGATTTTATATTTATAGCCAATCTCTGGTTGCAGTTGATTAACAAAGAACATGCAGCTGGGAATGGTGTCACATGTCTTTAGTCCCAACATTCGGGAGGCGGAGTTTGAGGCCAGCCTGGTCTACACAGCAAGTTCTAGGACAGCCAGGGCTACACAGAAAACCCATGTCTCCAAAATAAAACAAAACAAAATGCACATGCTATTTGGGTTTATACTTGAATGAGAAAGAAACATCCAAGATGTCAGAATTTCATTTGCTGGTCAATATTGGGAGAGATTCTTGCTAATGCAGATAATATTCTTCTAATGAAAGCTTTAACTCCCCGTTACACCGTAAAGAACACAGAGGACACACATTCTCAAATTTACTGTTTCTCCATCAGTTTTGCATTTGCTAACTTCAGTACCTCCCCAATTTAGCTGATTTCAAGGTTTGATTCCTACTGCTGAAAAATAAAGGAAAAAAAAAAAAAACTCGAGAAACACTATCATCTTTGAAAAAGGAAAACAGAGGGCAGTGCTGCAACCCAGGAACTTGGAATCTCATTAGATAGTCCAAATGTTGACGTTCCCATTACCCCCATACGTTGGACCAAATACACCATATGATGGTGCTAGGAGGCAAGGCCTTCAGGAAGTAAAGTGAAGGGCTCCACTCCCATAGATTAGTGGCCTTGATTCCCTTTGGCAGTGCAGAGTAGGTTTCTCTGAAGAGGCTTATAGACTTTACCGTATTTTGAAAGCGAGTGAGGCCCTGACATACATTATTAAATTTATTTTTATGTATATGGATGTTTTGGCTGCACGTATGTCTGTGTACCACATTCGTGCCTGGTACCTACGGAGGTCAGAAGAAGGCACTGGATTCCCTGGAACTGGAGTTATAGATGGTGTGAACTGTGAGTGCTGGGAAACAAACCCAGGTCCTCTGCAAGAGCAACAAGTGTGTTCTTAACCACTGAGCCTTCTCTTCAGCCCCATGGTTTTGTTTTTTTTTATAAGCTGTGATTAACCTGTCTGGTGGATTGGGACCATCTCTTCATGTGGATACAACAGGAAGCATCCCCAAAGAGAGCGCACAATCAGAAGACACTGACATGCATGGACTAGCCATGCAAACGTGCCACCACTACAAGGGTGGCAGCTGTGACCACGATCTACTCTTCTTTCCCTTCCATAGTACTTTTTTGCACTGAATAAACCTTCAGGACTCTTGGACAATTAGAGGGGTGAGTCGAGGGATGTGAAGCCTCAAAAGACAACTGACTTCCTCCTTGAAAAGGATTAAGCAATGCATTAATAAACTATGGTTATACTGGAGACTAATGAAAGTCATTTGAGAAATGGAGCAGCCTAAAGACTGAGAGCTTGTATACTGTAACTTCACTCAGGTGACATCAGGAGCCATTAAAGACTGTGATGTAACCAGATTTAGATTTACTATGACAGCAGTATGGCTGTGAACTGAAGGCCCATTAATGGTCATCCAGCAGAGGGCCTAAACTGAGCAGCTGCAGTGACGTGGTATGAGATGTTAAGGAAACCTTAGTTGGGCACCAGCAATATCAACATCTGGAATTTGTTGGCATCTCTGGACCCACTTCAGACCAACTAACTCAGAATCTGCATTCTACAAGATTCCCCAGTGATCCGAACGCATGTTAAGTATAACTGATTTAGGGCTGGCTAAAGTGGCACACACTTTGAATCCCAGCACTCAGGAGGCAAAGACAGGCAGATCTCTGTGAATTTGAGGCCAGCTTGGTCTACACAATGAGTTCCAGAACAGCTAGGGCTATGTAGAGAGACCTTGTCTCAAAATAAGATTTAGAGAGGATTAATCTGCACTTGAGAGGACAATCCACATTTGATCTTCACAAATCCAGTGTGAGGATATAGTATCATCTCTTAGTTCCTTCTAAAGATACAAAAATAGAAATACCTCATCAAAAGAAATAACATTTCGTTTTGAGATGGTGGAGGTGAGGGGCAGGCTTTCTCTTCATAGCCCTGGTGGTTCTGAAACTCACTGTGTAGGCCAGGCTGGCTTCTGCCTCCTGAGTTTTTGAATTAAAGTTCTTTGCACCACACTTGGCAGAAAAATTATTTCTTATACATTTTGCATATGATTGTCTTTTATATGCTGTTCCAGAGAAATGGCATCTGTGACATGGAGCATCTTTGCTCCTGAGCCACTGTCTTCAGTGGTTATGGGATGCTGCAGTGAGTGTTCAACATGACGCCATACAATTCCCAGGAACCCCCCCCCACACACACACACTGAAAATATCTTTCATAAAACAAAACAAACAAACAAACAAACAAACAAACCATCTTGATAGCCTGGTGGTGGTTGCACACTCTAATCCCAGCACTGGGGATGCAGAGGCAGGTGGATCTCTGTGAGTTTGAGGGCAGCCTGGTTTATAGAGCTCTAGGATAGCCAGGGATACAGAGAAACCCTGTCTCAAAAAACAAAACTA